GGCCTTGCGTCCAGAGTCAATGGGTTTGTCCTAATCCTCAGGACAGAAGGCTTATTGGGCGGTGTGGGGATTTGGCTGCCTTCCAGAGGTGAGTGGCAGCCATTTTAGGGGGACCTTGGCCCCCCCTGCTCCACTCAGTCCCAGCCCAGGACACTGGTAGTGGCGAGTAGGCTTGATACACGCTGACTGCTATATGGACAATGGTTAGTCCTTCCATGGGATACTTCCTACTGTGACTCCTGCAGTCTTGGTCTAGACATCCTCTGGGTCTCCGGTCTCCCTGGACTGTGCTGCTCCCGGTGGCTCCGACCTCCGAGTGGTGTCCTCAGGTACCTGAGCATCTGCCTGGGTCTCAGGACCTCTGGCTCCCGCAGTCTGGGGCTTTGACAACTCCCGGGCTGGAGCCTGGGGCGTAAGTCCTTCCTCTCCAGCGGTCTGCCCTGACTGAGCTGTGCTGCTCCCTTTTATAGAAGTGCTACACTTGGTGCATGCCTAGTAGGGACTTGGGGATGTGGCCTCTTCCACTCACAGTGAGGAATTAAGCCTTCCCCATTCGGTTCGGTGTGAGTGCACCCTGTCACATCCTCCCATAGCTGAAGTCACCTGAGGGCTGTGACTAGCCCTGGAGGTACTCTTAAATGCATGGGACAGTTCACCACAGAAACAACTTACTAAGACAAAAGCTTTGCATTCAGAGTGCATGTGATCAAAGAACCACAGACCATCAAACTTCTCAGCAGCAGCCTGTCAGCCACGATGGGCTTAGTGAGAAAGGTGGAAGAACTCTCTGAAGGATTTGATGATATAACACAAAATCAACCTGTGGAACTCTTTGCCAGGGGATATTGTGAAGGACCAAACTATAACAGGGTTCAAAAGAGAACTAGAGAAGTTCATGGAGGATAGGTCCACCAAAGACTATTAGCGGGGATGGGCAGGGATGTTATCCATAGCCTCTTTTTGCCAGAAGCTGGGAATGGGTGATAGGGGATGGATCTCTTGATGATTACCTATTCTGTTCATTCCCTCAGGGGCACCTGGCATTGGGCATTGTTGGAAGATAAGATACTGGGCTAGATGGACCATTGCTCTGATCTAGTATGTCCGTTTTATGTTCTTATGATATTGGGCTTTTGAAAGGAGATCCAGTACAAATCCACTTAAGAGACATTGCTGAACCGTACAATGTACAAACATTTCTACCAGAGAGACCTTGCAGAGACTAGCTGCAGATTTATGGAAATTCAGAGGCCATCATTACCCAGTCATCATGGACTATTTTTCCAGGTATATAGAGATAATGTATTTGAAAGACATATCACAGTGTTATGGAGAAACTGAAGTGCACCTTTGCTCACTTTGGTATTCCAGAGCAACTAGTGACAGACAACAGACCACAATTCACTGCAGCAGAATCTGTCATTCCAAACTATATATGATTTTGCTCTTATTGTGAGCCTCCCACATTACCCCAAGTGAATGGAGAAGCTGAAAGAGCTGTACAGACAGCCAAGAAAATCCTACAGCAGGAAGACCCATTCCTTGCTCTTTTGAATTACAGATTAACACTGATAGCAGCTGCTGGATATAGTCCCACACAACTCTTGATGGGAAAACAACTCAGAACGACTGGTCCAAATTTGGAAAAGAACCTATCTCCAAAGGGGCCAGACATGAAGAGAGTTGCCAGCTTGTATAGAAAGGCTAAACTGAGCTTATTGTAATGGCATTAGGGGTGGGTTATTGTAACACGGGACCCTACTTCACCCTAAGTTATCTTGGTGAGAAGCAACCCATCTCTCATCAACCCTACTGTTACCCAGAGGAACAGGCTGAGCATGGTGCAATGTCTTTGGAAAGGGGAGGGACACTAGTAACTCCAGGGGACTTCCTTCCCTCAAGTTATCTAGCAATTTGCCTTCTGTGATCCCAGAACACCTTGGGATTGGGTTTAAGGCTGCAAGCCAATTACCAGATGGAGGGAAGTTATTATTCCCCTCTGTTTGGCACTGGTGAGGCCATATCTGGAGTATTGTGTCTAGTTTTGGGGCCTCTACTACAGAAAGGATGTGGACAAATTGGGGAGAGTCCAGTGGAGGTCAACAGAAATGATTAGGGGGCTGAGGTACATGACTTATGAGGAGAGGCTGAGGGAACTGGTCTAATTTAGTCGGCAGAAGAGAAGAGTGAGGTGGGATTTGATAGCAGCCTTCAACTACCTGAAGGGGGGTTCCAAAGAGGATGGAGCTCGGCTTTTCTTAGTGGTGGCAGATGACAGAACAAGGAGAAATTGTCTCAAGTTGCAGTGGGGGAGGTCTACATTGGATATTAGGAAAAATATTTCACTAGGAGGGTGGTGAAAGACTGGAATGAGTTACCTAGGGAGGTGGTGGAATCTCCATTGTTAGATGTTTTTAAGGCCTGGCATCACAAAGCCCTGTCTGGGATGATTTAGTTGGTGAGTCCTGCTTTGTCCTCCTTAGTTCTCTTACAGCCCTAATCTTCTATGATTCTATGATCCATCATGGCTAATAAGTATGTAATGAACCAATGTGCTACGTTCATTCTAATGAATGAATTCTTCACCAGACTTAGAATCCCAGTGGGGTCCCAGTGGCGCTCCTCTCAAATCAAGGGAGAAACTTTGAATGCGAAGTGTTTTAGCAGCTGTGTGAGATCCTATGGGCTCCACAAAACCTGCCCCAGCCCCGCACCCAGCACAGTGTGATAGGATGGTAGAAAGTTTCAGTTGGACTCGGGGGTTTTTACAGATTCATAGATTTCTAGGCCAAAAGGGACCATTGTCATCATCTAGTCTGAGTCCTGTATAGCACAGGCCAGAAACCTGCCCTGAAATCATTCCTAGAGCAGATTGTTTAGAAAAACATCCAATCGTGAGTTAAAAGCTGACAGTGATGGAGAATCCACCATGACCCTTGATAAATGAGTCATTTCGAGCCTCAGTTTGTCTAGCTTCAACTTCCAGGTATCGGATCTTGTTCCCCCTTTCTCTGCTAGATTGAAGAACCCATTATGAAATACTTGTTCCATGAGTAGATACTCACAGACTGTGATCAAGTCAGCGGGGAGGGATAGCTCAGTGGTTTGAGCATTGGCCTGTTAAACCCAGGGTTGAGTTCAATATTTGAAGGGGCAATTTGGGGCAAAAATCTGTCTAGGGATGGGTCCTGCTTTGAGCAGGGGCTTGGACTAGATGACCTCCTGAGGTCCCTTCCAACCCTGATATTCTATGCTTCTTAACCTTCTCTTCATTAAGATCAAGCTCTTTGAATCCATCATTATAAAGAAAGGTCTTCTAATCCTTTCCACATTCTCATGGCTCTTCGCTAAGCCCTCTCCAATTCTTCAACCTCTTTCTGGAACTGGGGACACCAGAACTGGATACAGGATTCCAGCAGCGGTCACACCAGTGCCAAATGCGGAGGTAAAATAAACTATCTACTTGTACTAGAAATTCCCTTGGTCATGCATCCTATGATCACAGGAGATCCGTTGGCCACAGTGTCACACTGGGAGCTCATGTTCATCCACCGTGACCCCATACCTTTTTCAGAGTCATTACTTCCCAGGAGAGAGTTCAATATCTAAGTATGGCCAATGTTCTTTTGCATGTAGCTCTATTAAAATGCATATTGTTCTCTTGCACCCAGTTTACAAAGTGCCCAGATCTCTCAACCAATAACCTGTCCTCTTCATTATTTACCACTCCCCCAATTGTGTCATCTACAAACTTTCTCAGTGATGAGCTCTTCTTTTAGGGTCCGGCGACAGAGCCATAATCTCTGTATTTGGGCTTACAAAGTGGATTGCTGGCCCTCTGGAAATGCTGGTGGATGCTGAGAGGGAGCTGAGATTTGTAATATTAACTTGTCCTTGTCCCACAGGTTCTGTCAGTGTCTGCCTGAGTCTGAGAAGGGCTGTGTCTGGGGACAGCACAGTTCATGGCTGACTATGAGTCCAGTGG